AAATAATTTACAAATTCCATAGTTTATTATAACTTTGTTCATTATTTCATGTACATGTGCCAGACAGGATTGGTTTAATTTTATATAAACGCTAAACAGAAATCAATAAGTTTACTTAAACACTCCTTTAGGCACATGAATAATTTTATTGTTAAAAAAGTACTACTGTAACATTAATCTGAATCGGGCCAGCTTTATCCATCCTTTTTCTCCATTAGGTCTTCAGGAGAATCTAAAATGGTTTACATCTGACACTGATGATTGCAATCTGAGAAACAAAATACTGGACCATTTTCTGAACGCAATCCCTGCGCTGACTGCTTACTCTATCTGCAGAAAAATATAATGATAAATATATTAAACTGTATATTTAGAAAAATAGGAGATAAAATTCAATACTACGTATACAGGCTAAAGCTATCTGGCTGCAGCTAGGCCTAATTAAAAGAACAGTGGGCTAGCACCGCACCGCCGACCCCAACAGGGATGCTCAATGAAATACTACAGGCCTCTACTAGCGAGGCCTAGGCCTCTCTTGACGTTGGCTGAAGTAGAGTTACGAATGGCGTGGTATTTACCATTTATGTAGACTTGAAAGTTACTTAACTACATAACAACTTTAAACTTAAAAGTAATACTCGTGGATATCGTCTCGTACATTTTTTCTACACACAATTAAGTGATATGACGTACGTATCGGCGGTGTACCAACTTAAAATACCCTAAACCTACGCTCCGGAAGATATTAAAATGATAATTTTTGTAACTTATGATTCGAAAATGAAGATGCACTTACGATATATGGTAAATAGATTATTTAGTATTAGTATCTTCCCAAAATAAAACTGGATTATACAATGTAAGTTACGGAAATAGCGATATCAAATACTGTACTACAAAACTCGGTGCACTGCGAAACAAAAAAAAAAACAAAAAAATGGACGATCAAGGTTTGTTTAGCCCAGCGAAACCCGTAACCAGGAAACGTGGAGTCACACTTTTCTCCATTACTTTGACCCCGAGGAGATGCTTGTATCT